CGAATGATTCCTGTAATCATGGCGATACTTACCACACTTTCCCGCCAAAGACCGTAGGCGGGAGGAGGCGCTGTGACCTTTTCGCGTACGGCATTCGGGCTCGCTGCTCCAACGTCCTCATCGCCAGCCAAAATAACGTGGATAGGACGCGCTGGTTGCGCATAGCCGGCTGGCCCTGCCCTGCTGGGTATGCGATCCGTAGCGACATCAGAGCCAGGCCGTCGTAACAGTGCCATCAAGAAGCGCGTGAGAGAATGACAGAAAACAATGCCAAGAATTAAGATCATGAAGATGAGAAGAATTTGGAGCTCTCGGCCCAATGTCGTACGGGAAGCAGCGAATGCGAGGTAAATGGCGATAACGAGTATGAGGAAACATGCGGATATAACTAGCGTGATCAGTCGCCTCCGCAGCTTCTTCTCCTTCAGCCGTGATACGAACGATTGCCTGCATCGGAGGTCTTCAGGGTCTGGCGGGGAGTGTGCTCCATGCGAATCTCGACCTGAGCGCGCATGCGACCGTGTTTCGCCGGAGCTTCCTGCTGCTGCGGACTGCAACTCAATTGGGACATACGGTCCTCTTGGCGCATATTGAGATGCAGCAGCATCTCTGAGAGAACTATGCGACGGTGCTGGTCGACCGGGTAGATGCGATTCGCGACGCTCAGCGCGGTCACCAAGGATTCGTTGTTCCAGGTCGAGACGATGGTCGGCTACCCATGATGTGAATCGCTCCTCCCGATTGGGAGCTCGTTGGAGTTGGTCATCTGCGATTGACCCACCGAAATTGACATGCGAAGAGCGATCGGGCGAGAACATGCCGGGGATCGAGCTGGAATGTGTTGTCGATCCCGAATGAGACAGCTGAACCGATTCCATGTCAACTCAAACTAGCAGTCGTACAATGACATCTGGACAGACGCAGGGCGCGACTTTCAAGTGCTTCGCAGAGATCACTGATGAGTATTATATGCGTCGATAGTGGGAACTCCAATCGCGTATATGATATGTTCTGCGTCGATATGTACTGCCCACTTCCGCATTCGTTGAACAACACACAAATAAGCGTCGCGGGAACGCAGAACCGGATGCAAACCGCCTGGAATGAGAGCCTTTACGACGCAAAGCGGATAATTGCTAGCGAAGGCGGGATATCTGTGGCCGAACTGGGAAATTGGTTATGATTTCGGACGCTATACATTCATAATGAAGATCGAGCCTGGGGTGTAGGAGAGGGGCCCAGGGGAGAGCAGCATCAGACGCAGGAATCCCGATCGCGAAGTCACAGGACACGAGCGATGGCGACCCAAAGGCAATTAGATCGGTGAAATTGTATCGGGATGGAGTAGAAGATAATTGGATTTTGAAACGAACGCGCAGAAAAAGCGAAGGAACAGGGCGAGCACCAGGCCAGCCGGTTAGGAGAGGGCGATTCGGTTCAGCACGGAGAGAGCGAGAGCGAGAGAGGTTCGACGAACAGTAAACTATTATACCCGAATGATAGTCCGGACGGAGAGGGGATAAGATATCACAAGGGGAAAAAGCAAATACTAATGGGCAGATGCCGATAAGGATGAGGAGGTAAAGATGAAGAAAGTGGAAGCAAAAAGAAACGTTTGAAAAAAAAGATACTAGTAGCAGAGCCTCAGATGTTGAATGCGAGCAAGAACGAAAGATCCATACTATGAACCCGGAATAAACAATGAGATGGGGAAAGCGAGCGAGAGAGAAACAGAGAGAAAGGAAGAACTGAGAGGCAGAGAGTAACGAGAGTAACGAGTGAGAGAGTGACACTTCCCGTTCCCCAATGGGTAATAATCACGGGCGACTAAGAGAGGGAAGTGGTGCTGCTAAGCAGCTTAGTTGGTTACAGACAGTTTCTCTCTCTCACACGCAGGCCTTTCCTAAACAACTTTGATAGGAAGTAACTTTCATATATTCTGCCCTTTTGATCTTATTATTAGCCATCATTTCCCTCTCCTACCCACTTCTCTACGTATAACTGACCAAACTGGAATCCAGTTTGCACAACCGGCCTGATCCGAACAAAATTATTATTAGTAGCTGATTAGCTGGTTGATGGACTGCCGAATGCTGATTTGGCGTCTCTCCTCGTTCTTCTGCTTTAGGGGCTGACCATTTTACCCCTGGATGACCCACGTTGCCCTGATATAGACACGGACACCATTCAATACTAAGTATAGCCACAGCTCCCCTCCCTCGGCCCCCTCCCAAAACCAAGTCCGAGCTGTCCGATAACAACCCGCAGCTGCTGCATAGCTATTGATCTTACGCCATAGCTGACTTCATCTAAGAACTGATCTATACTAGTCCACTAGTCTGGTTTAACAGACCAGTGCATCGACAACTGCATCTGTGCTCCTTGACACTATTCCCCGTGGCATCATTATATTTATCGGACTCTCTCACTTTCGGTCCTGACGGGCCGATGCTTGGATGCGGGTAAACATTATACTACTAATCCTAAACTAAATATTAAGGATGGCTGTGGCTCCTCGCGCCGCCTGAAGGAAGCCAACTGTTTCGGCCTCACAGTCAAGTCCCCCTCTTAGGACCCTCTTTTCCAAGGGGGCCAATCGAGCGCCAATGAATCCCTCGACGCGCTGGTAATTTCTATTAAGAGCGGCTACCACAGCTTACTGAGACAAAGCTGGCCCGTAGCTAGGGTCACTTATCGCCATGATCTTCCAAGGTTACACAAATGGAGTGCGAGCCATTATCATGTTGACGTATATTATTACACTTGTAAGGCATTGAATATATGGATATACTGCGCTCCACGGGAGGTATTCAAATAATGGTAGTAATCCATTTCCCCCCGTCATGCGGCCGGCCGTTCTCCCCGGTTCTGCCCATAATGGCTAATCTACCAGCCTTGGGTTGACATGTTTCAACCGGCAAGCAAGGTTGATGCTGGAAGGTTCTCTTGCCATCACTATTCGCCACAAGTCTAAACTAAACTTGATGGAGCGGGGTCCTGGAATGTGTTGTCATAGATAAATGCTGTTCGTAATGAGACGGATTAAACTCGCGATTGTGTTGGCTGGGTGTGCTGCACATGCGCTTCCCCTCACTTGCCAAGTTCACCGAGCATGAGCGTTCTATCGGACGACCCCGAGACAACTATAGACAGACATTAGTATACCAACGACTTTCCCCAAACCCGGTGTGACTTACTGATGGGCTCATTGTTTGGTGAGAACCGGACGTCATTGACGGTCCCCTTATGTCCAGGGAGCTTGTATAGAATTTTGCCGGACTTCGAGTTCCAGACTACGACACTTCTGTCACCACTGCCCGCCGCAATCTTCTCTCCACTCGGGTCCCAACTGGCCCGGATGAGGTTCTTCTCCAAACCGACCGGCGCGCCGTCAAATGTCCTGACGTGTCTATTGGCCGGCGCGAATGGCCGGATGTCCCACGTGCGTACGGTCGAGTCGTGTGAGTTGGAAAGAAGAGTTTGCGAGTCGGGCGAGATTGCGAGAGAGGTGATGGTTTCCGTGTGTCCCGTCATGGAGTAGACAATGCCCTTCTTCCGTAGATCCCAAGCGTGAATGGTGTTATCAATACCACCACTATAGATTTCGTTACCCGCCTCCGAAAGCGCCACCGCCGTGATGGGCAACTCAGTTTCCAGATATTCGATGGCATCCTTTTGCCGGGGATCCCAGATGCCTATGCAGCCGTCGTCACTTGCGCTAACCAGCAATTCCTGGCCTCTTTTGCTTATGTCAAGACAATTGATAATCTCCTCGTGCCCAATGTGCCGGCGTATCCTTTGTCCGGTCTCGAGATCCCAACTAGCGAGCGTCATGTCGGCCGATGCGGAAAATAACGTTCTGGAGTCGCGCGACCATTGAAGATCAAGAACTGCTCCCCGGTGACCTGATAGCGCACCATAGTTCTCGCATTGTCCGTATGTGTTCCAAAGCACTGTTGTCGACTCTGCGATTAGCCTGTACCCTCGGGCCATTACAATCAGACGAAACACGTACAGATAGATCTATCCATTGAGCCCGAAGCAATGTGCTGGGCAGTGGGATCAAACCGCACCGAAAAGATTTCACCAGAATGACCTAGTATTATCCATTATATGTCAGACTTAGTCGTAAGTCACCGCGGTGGTGCAGCTCACCATTCATTTCCATAATCGGTGCTTGAAGCCCGCTGGTGCGGGGAACCTGTACCCAAGGTCAACAATGGAACCTGACAAAAACCTCACTTCTCCAATAACGCGGGATAAAGCATACTGATTGAATCAAAGCTCCATTTTGCGACGAGCTTTGAACGATGGCTGTGCTATCATTGAGACCGGCGTCGGACTTCTTTCGCTTGACGACAAGCTGGTTCGATGAGCCAAAGGCTTCTTGGGCAGGTCGCTTTTCCCCCGACATCGTTGACAGTAAATTCAGCGGGCGAGGCTCAGTCAATGGGTATGCGAGTGAAGTAGGGATGGAGGCTGAGCGTAGAATGCAATCAAGCCTAGTAGCTGGGGAAATCTGGACTGGACGCGCCGACCCGGACTAAGTCTTGCGTCCGAGGCTCTAAGCATGGTTTCTGCGTAAGCGCCAACCAGCCGCGCTAGGCGCCGAGCGCTGGTCCACCAGGCGCGTGAAGCTCCGCCTCAGGCCCCCTCGGTCCACCGAATCAAGCGGGGAAGAGTGCGCATTGCTCTTGTCATTGTTTACCAGCCGCTTGCAAACTTGAGTTTTTATAAAGTTTTGCGTCGTTCATATTTATTTACTTAGACTCCGGGCTTAACAAGTGTGATTAGCAATCATGTCTTCTGCAACAAAAGCGTCTAGGATTGGGGAAGAGTAAGCTGTTCATTTACCTCACTTGACCAGTAACCCCTTACTAACGTTCTGAACCCGACAGGCTGTGGAAGTCAGTAAGCTGCATGCGCATAGTTGGCGCTCGAAGGCCCCTCAGGAACCGAGCGAAGCCAGCTTGAAACGGACGGACAACTGACATACTCCCGACCTTACCAGGACGAGAGTTGACAAAGTGAACGCCGAGTTAGTAACATTAACGTACGGTACAATTGTCGCGCAACTTTGCCAGGACTACGATGGAAACTACCAAGAAGTGAACAAGCAACTGGAGAAGATGGGCTACAATATTGGAATGCGACTTATCGAGGACTTTCTGGCCAAGTCGGGCGTGGGCCGTTGTGCTAATTTCCGGGAAACAGCGGATATGATTGCAAAGGTATCTTGAGTCCAATAGGCGGAGCACTTGGCCGAAACTATATGGATCTCTGTGAGCTGACGAGTGTTATGCCAACTGCAGGTTGGGTTCAGGATCTTCCTCAACATCGCGCCCACGGTCACCAACTGGACAAGTGACAACAACCAATTCTCTCTCATATTTGAAGAGAACCCGTTGGCGGATTTCGTTGAGCTGCCTGATGACGGACGGGCTCAAGATGAGCTGTGGTTTTCTAATATTCTTTGTGGAGTCCTGCGGGGTGCATTGGAGATGGTAAGACGGCGTGCTGCAGGGTGTTAATCTGTTCTCTGCTAGCCAATTCCATGCATATCTGTGCTAATTCTGGGAACAGGTGCAAATGCAGATCGAGGCGCATTTTGTGAGCGATGTTTTGCGGGGCGATGACACTACGGAGATGCGGGTATCACTTGTAAGGTACATTGAGGACGAGATGCCACCCGATGAGGAGTGATGGCGCCAGCCGCATGGTTCTGAAATTGTTTACACAAGTAGAGGCGTCTGGTGTTATGAGGGTTTAATCCGCCGATCTGGAGCTGCAGTTACCAATGAATACTACCTCTATTACGACTTATGATTGATACGGAATCTTGCATCTGTAATTCCAGTCTAGAGTTCTCGCACTAAACCCCGTTTACATAGAAGGTCTCCTGCAGGTCACCAGTTCAAAACACCAATCCATTGTCACAGAGGGACAAGATGAACAATTGCATGATAGCGAAATTAACGAGAAAAAAAAATTTACAACGGATATCAAGGCCTAGAACATGACCTGTCAATATAGTAGATCCCATCTTGACAGAGGGACGCTCTCCGAACCCGGAGCATGGGGATCTACACGGGTGCCATTAGTATGACAGGCGGTGTGAGATTCTGCCATCCCGGAGAAGACCACCGACGCGATTCAGGTCCCTGTAATTTAACCGTAGAGAAAACCAGCTTCACGGTGATTGTATTTCACAGGCTTGAGAAGTGATTTAAGACGATATAAGACTACAAAATGTGTATAAGATGCAGTGTAATGACTTCCGGTGAATCAAGAGCGGAACAATCTCAATTCAGATGTCGATAGATCCTGGCCAACACATCTCTCACGAAGGACGGCCCGCACTATTCACGACTCGGCAGTGATCGGAGACTGACGGCCGTGACCTGTACTCCGTCTGATTGATACAACGCGATCCAGTCTGATCCTGCTGATCTAGCTATGGAAAAGTGTAATCACAGAGCGGCAGAGCCTGGACTTTGTCCAGAATGAGCTAGAAAAGAGATACCGTGCGCGGGGAAGAGTAGAGATCTCAATTGATATCTAACTCGTATGATGTGCAACATCAGTATCTAGACACCTAACATTTCAACACAGAGTCCGGGGAACGGCAGGATGGGCAGATCGGCGCAGGAAATCCTCACCCGGCGGGAGAGTCACCACGTGATGCGCTAGACCAAAACGGGGGCGAAGCATCCCATCATTCCCAGGGTGTGCCAGGATATACGCGGTGGCGAGTCTGCGATTCAGGAAAAGCAGCCTCAAACTGTCAATTAGAGAATAAGAGAGGGGGGAATCGCTGTGTTATTCACTTCTTATAAAAGAAAAAAAAAATCTTCTAGTGATCTCGATGATTTGAGAAATTCAATGAATACGAATTGTCTATTTCAAATCTATAGTATAATACTCATTTGTGTTAGTGGGTTCAAATCAATGAATCGATCAATTACATTGTGAAGGGTCGCGGTGATTCCGCTGTATCAGATACACTTTATACACCACCAGATCGGGTGGATCACTCGGCGCGTGTTAATGCTTTGGAGTTCAAAGGAAGCAATTAGTAGTGAGAGAGAGACAGGTATCTTATATAACTTATAACCAGCCTCTTTGATTTATTTGAAATTTTTACCGGCATCTTCTCCTTTTTGTTTTCTCGTTTCATCTCTCTCTCGTCGTGATCAAATATACTGGTAAGTTGTTGCTCCGATCTTGAATCTTTCATGCTTGTTCTATTAGAATAGTCCTTCATGTAAATCATCATCTGTTGTCTTTCTACTATCTCATTGCCTGTCAACTCTTCTCTCTGTGTCTCTCTCACTGTTACAAATTTTTATTTTTTCCCATCGGGATTTCCGCTGGAACTGCATGCTGAGATATACGCGAGCCAGCCGCATCTCCCAGCCCTCCCACGGCGTTCCGGGCAAGATAATCCGCGCCGAACAAGCGATTCACGCCCGGCCGGCAGTGATTGAGCAACTCCAGGCACCGCGCCTGATATCCACGTCCTCCCACCCACCAGAGAACACCTCAGATCCACCGCTACACCTTGTCCTAACCTTTGCCTCTCTCTCTCTCCTCCCTCCCCCCCCCTCCACTTCCTACTCTTCAAATCTGCCGGATCTCTCCGTCTGTCCCCCCTTTCCTTTTGCTGCAGGGGCTTTTGAGGATACTTCTGCTGCTTCTGAAGTCCTCTCACATCCTTGGCTTTGGCTGGTACCCCCCGTCGGGTTGCGTCTGGTCGGGTTCTCTCCTATACCTCGTTCCCGTCCTTTGCCATCCTGTGTCGCTTGTTCGCCGCCCTGCCCCCCCGGCTGATCTTACCGCGCATTTTCGGTCAACTGGCTTCTGTGAACAAGTACACCAATCCTTTCTTCTCTTAATCTTTTTTCTCCTTCCTTATCCCGCCTGTCTCCTGCTTTCAACTGGACCGTGTCTCGATTGAAAGTCCTTTTGCCCGCTTGTGCTCCGTCTCGCCTCACCTTGTGGAAGTCACCGAAGATTCTTTCTCGTCTTCTCTCCCAGTTGCCGTATGCTTCTGAGTGGGCCACACTCGCCTTCCCTTGTTGGTGATCATCGCGACACCTTTGTTCTGCGTTGTCCTATACTCTCCGTCAGAGATACCCCCCTCTACGTCAGTTAGCGTGAAACGATATCGCGGGTTCAACTTCCGCCTAGATTAGCCCCGGAACCCGGCTTACTCCCTGGCGATCGCGCATTTAGGTCTGACTACGAAGCCTTTTTTTTTTTTTCACTGGGCTGGAAGCGTCTGTGACCCTGCCTTGTACATTCCCTCACCTCGGGCCCTTGATTGCCGCGCGCTGCGCCTCGTCGCTTCCTTTGTGGTGAGCTCCCTCGCCGCAAGACGGTGGATGCGCGTTGAACGTTCTCGGACCCTCCGACGCTTTCCCATCGAAGACAATAACTAGGTGAGGGTGGCTGGACCCTTCTTTTGAGTGCCACCATGAATCAGATGAACCAGATGAACCAGATGAACCAGATGAATATGGCTGGAATGAACCCCGGTGCAGGGGGCCCAGTGGGAGGTGTGCCCATGATCAACAATGGCTCTGCCGCCCCCCGTAACGAACAAAACATCAACATTCCTGAAAACATGATCAACAACCTCAACACTTATATCTACGATTATTTCTTGAAGCGCGGCTACCACGATTGTGCTAGGGCGCTTGTGAAGGATGAGTCCATCAAACTTAATACCGAGCCGCCGATCAAAACGAGTCCGGGTCATCGTCGCGATGCCGACGTGAACGGTGTCGACGGTGATACAATGATGACGGATGGAAAGGATGGAGATAAAATGAAGATTCCTGATGACCTCCCCCGCCCTAATCTCCCCAATGAAGGACAGCAGTCGTCATTCCTCCTTGACTGGTTTAGCCTCTTCTGGGATTTCTTCTGGGCTCAGCGCAAGAAGGGAAACAGCAATGACGTGAGGAGTTATCTTACACACACCCAGGTACGTGCTCTTTACTATTTGCCGCCTGTCCGGACGTCTAACTGAGGCTTTGTAGAATATGATGCGCCTCAGGGAACAACATCAGAATCAATTATTACGACAGCAGCCACTGATGAATGGACAGATGGGCCAAATGAATATTCGCCGGAACGGCATGGTCCCCCCTAATCTTCAAAAGACTGTGTTGCAGAATAATACTTCTGGCCTGTACGCGCCCCCTTCCCTATCTCCTGCGCCACCTCGCAAGAGCGTTCGGACTACATTGGTACTGACTGCGTTTTTCACAGATCGCAACAACAACTCGCCCAGATGCATAAAAACCAGCAGGTCCAGCTGATGCAACAGATGCAGCGCGAGCATTCGGACATGGATATGAACGGCCATCGACCCCAGTCCCCCGCATCGGCAGAAAATGCCCCGTCTCCGTCGAAACGACCTCGCCTCGAGGGTGGCCCCATGAACGGGCAGCAACTGGCACCCAACGGACGCGGTCAGGCCCAGGGTATCCCAGGCCAGCCCACCCCGCAAGCACTTTTGATGCAGAACGGACTCAATCGGGCGATGAACCCCAATCAGTTCCAGGCTTTCCAGCAGTCGGGACCGGCTGCGCAGCAGAAACAGATGCAGGTATATGCTCACAACTTGGCCGTTCATCACACACGCTCAGCATTGACGAACCAGGGCATGCCGAATGGTATGATGAATCCCGCGAATGTCATGGCAAACCCGCAGACGGAAATGGTGTCCATACCGGAAGGCCAGGTGTATCCCATCAACGGTGACTACTACGGCGCGAATGGTCAAATGGCCCAGGTTCGGACGGGGATGCAGACACCTGGCGGTCAGCACGGCAACCACGCTCTCCAGGATTATCAGATGCAACTTATGCTGCTCGAACAGCAGAATAAGCGGCGTCTGATGATGGCTCGCCAGGAGCAGGACAGCATGGCTCGGCCTGATGGCCAACCCCCAATGCCCGGGCAGCAGTTGCCACCAGGCACCTCGCCCCAAGGCAGCAGGGCTGGCACATCGCCGAATCCCAACGACCAAATGAAGCGAGGCACCCCGAAGATGCCCCAGACCGGCCTCCCCGGATCACCGAGCGCTGCCGACGCGATGGCCCAGGGCCGTGGATCCCCGGCATCCATGAACTTCCCTGGTGGCCAGATGCCTCCCGAGATGGCGGGTCCCCAGTTCTTCGTCAAGAACATGGCTGATGGTATGGCGGCGCCCAACGGCATGCGCCCTCCGAGCTCCAATCCTGCGTTCAGCGCCCCTCAGATGGGTCAACCGATTCAGGCCGGTGCTGGCAATCGCATGCCCAACGGAGGTTGGCAGCCGCAGCAAGGAGCTCAGGGCCAGCCGATGGCGCCGCAGCAGTCGCCTGCGACCCAGCCTCAGTCCACGGGAACGCCTCAGGAAAGGAATGCCATGCCGCCGCCCCAAGCTCCCCCAGCACCTGGTGCCAACGTCGGTCGAACCCAGCCTCCGTCGCCCCAAACCGCCGCTCCGCCGACGCCGCAGCAAGGCAACAAGCCCGCTCCGAAGAAGAAGGAGACCAAGGATAGCCGGAAGGTATGTAATCAACGCATTTGCTTGTTGACCCCCCCCCCCCCCCCCCCTTGTCATCTCATATTGAACGCAAATCTTAGCGACCGAAGAAGGGCGCTGCTGCTGCTGCTGCCGCCGCCCAGGCGAACACGGCTGCCACGCCATCTTCCGAAGCAGAACACCCGCCGACCCCTACGCCGTCGACGCCGATCACGCCCCAGCATCCGAACTCGTTCAACAAGGCCGGTGCAAATGCTACGACTAGTGCTCCGCAGCAGCCAACGTCTGCCCCTGCACCTCCACCACTTGTTCAACAGCCTCCGGACCAGACGCAGCAGCCTTTCAATGAACTGAGCATCCCTGATGTATGTTCCTTGCCTCTTTCGTTATGTTCGGTGGATATTATACTTACATTGTTGAGCAGGCATCGGCTTTCAACCTGGACTTTAGCGCCTTAGAAAACCCGGACATCCTGGAGAATTTCGACTTCGATACCTTCCTCAACACTGATGCAGACACTGCTGGATTTGGATTTGACCCCAACATATCGTATCCAACCGATGGTGTTGAGACCGGTGCCGGTGATGGCTTGTGAAATGAAGTCCGACGGTTGTTAAGTCCTTAACTCATATACCCTTGTTCTGTACATTTCCATAAACTTGAGTTCGTGCTTGTGCTTCTTTGCTTTTTGCTTTCCATGTGTCATTTTTCTTTTTACTCCTTTTCTCTGCTTGTTTTCGCATCGCGTCTTCTCCTATCCTTGTGTTCTGTCGACATGATTTGGATATGTGCCCAAGTGACTAGGCGTTGGTGTATCCTCTTTTCCTTTTGCATATCCTTTCTTTCACTCTGCCAACCAGAAGTGTCGACCGGCTTCCGATGGGATTTGCTTGATTGCCCTGCTTGTATTCAAGCTACGTTCCAGTGGCCTCGTGTGACTGCTTTTTATATCCTCTTATCACTATTACTACTTGATTAATCTGGTCATCAAACTTCCCAAAGGGCCATCGAGTGATGCGTTTCTCCACCATCCTAGCGTTAGTCATGCTCCATTTAATGCTCGAGAATACTTACATCACAAGATGCGCCCCTGGCCCTTTCTTTCTTCTTTCCTTTTCTTTCTTCAACCAATCTCTTTCCCTTGACAAACCTTTTCTTTTCTCTTTGCGATTTGATTCGATTTGAATCATCATATTTATACCTTCTCCTTCTACTTCTTTATATTACATATTTCCTATGTTGATCTCTTTATCGTGTTGTGGCGTTATAATCAACGAGGCTCTAGTCGTTATTGACTCCTCTCAGGGAAATGGTTTCATGAAATCGAGAAAGATACTCACTTTCTTCTCTGCTGTTCTTTTTTCCTCTCTTAACTGACTTAACTCTCTTGCTACCGCATCACGTTAAATCGAACTGCCTGCTTCCTGCCGTACATTTTACTGCGCGCTGCTGCTATCTAAGTCTACCTTTACTGCCTGCAGTTATTCCAGCTTTTAAACCAGATCCGTCGGGAAGACACGTCTCGTCTCGTCTCTGTTTGATATTGGCGAGTGAGTGAGTGAGTGAGTGAGTGAGTGAGTGAGTGAGTGTGAGTGTATTTACGTACAGGGAACCAGGCCAAAAGCGAAATTCTGGAGTAGTTTTGAACCAAGATTAAGCTGTCTGTTTGATTCCCTCCCCTTCCGTACATAATCTTATTATATAGCTAGTTAGCTGCGTTATATCTGTCCTCCGGGGTAGAATGATAACTAACTGATAACTTGGTGTTGGCTCTATCAATACAAAAGATTACTTCGCAGTATGACAAAACGCTCACGCTATAGTTGAAGTAACTATTTCATCGTCAACACAAGCTGCTTACTGCTTACTGCTTACTGCAGCTAGTTAACTAGCTAGCTAGCTAACTAGCTGCATGGCTGCACATCTGCATGCATACATGTTGTTAACAGGTCAAGTCAAATCGAATCCCTTTCTCAAGTCAATTCTAAGAAGTTACCAAAATAACATGCCATCTTATCATCGAACCATCTAATTCAGAGTTGGTACTTAGAATCATTTGGTTGAACCGCCCCCAACAGGGTGGAACTAGGGACGCTTATGGTATTATCATTATTGAATATCAGCTACTTACTACATATTACAGCCTGTCGGTTATATTATTACTGATAGTAGTTGTGCTTCATGTTATGTTATTATATCTAACTTACACCATCTATGTATGAATGTATGTATGTATATCTCTGTTATCCCCCTTACACTGACTCGACTAACGAACCACTAATATAGATAAGTAAGTAAATAAATAGGTAAAACAGGTATGTGACAACATGACAACGGTAGTAATAAGAACCATCCATTCAACACCTCCAGACGTATACATACCAAAAGAGTATGGGGGATAACACTGCGAGTTTGTTTCTGCTGACGAGGAAGTCAAGCAGGCAGGTAGATGATGTCGATTCGTATGCTGATGATTACTGGCTTACTTCAGGTTAGATGTGTAACTACTTGTTAGTAGATGGAGAACAAGTGTAGGTGGGCTGATGTCTGTGCATGTTAGGTAAGTTGGTAGAAAATATTATCGCCTAGAATGTCGGGATCGTGGTAGGAGAAGAGATGGCTCTTGGGCACCGATGTCTTATAATGAGTCGTTGAGATGTTAGGAAAGACAAGGCGTTAATTTAGAGAGTAGAGAAAGTGACATGAACACAATAATTAAAGAACAGTAGGCATCATCGTTGTTCGTTATGTTTAATCTCTGAGGATAACTAGTCTGTGGATTCTGCAAGCTATACTAATGACACTCACTACCCTCCTAGCTGCTGCTATCACCACTAGACTAAGTACATTGAATGCTAAAACAAACATCCTGGGCTGAAAAACATGATTAACTGACATATCCACACGTTTCACCCCAAGCAAATTCAGTATCCGTAGCAATTGATCTAAGGTAACGAGAGTTCATCGGTCATGACTGGACCTCAACATCGACGCCCTATGTTAAAACTCGTTAACAGCCGAATCGATAAACAACAGAAGCTGACGAAGTAGAGAAAAGAAGCAAGCGGTGCACTGGAACTAAATGCCTATCTTGACCATATAATAATAATTCAATCATCTCAGTAACTGCTGCCGTGCTGACTCAGCAACCTGGGGGCCTAGAACAAGGCAATCACCAAACATAGCGCTCATAAGAGAACTCCTGAGCTAGCAAAAGTAAGGCCGTGCCATCCTAGGAAATGGGAGAGACCTCCGCACGGACAGAGCCTGTGGATGACTTGCGGCTGGACCGAGTTGGGGTTTCCACACCTCCGCTGGTACGCACCACCAGCTTAGAGGGGGTTTCGCGGGATTTCTCGTTCACTTTGAGTGGCGACCCCCCCAAAGATTCATTGTCCTTGGTCTGGGACATGCCCTCCTTGCGGCTTTTGACGCGTGGGCTAGGGGTAGCATGAATCTTGGTAGTTGCCGCTCCCTCAGCCGTTGCTTCCGAAGCAGCGGTGGATTTAGTGCTGGACCCAGACGCTTCTCTGGTTCCAGGCAATGAGATCTCCTTCAAGATCGACGTCCGGCTGCTGCCTTTGGTGTAGGGTGCAGAACGCGCTTCAGCAGCTGCAGAAAGCTTATTTCCCATGGGTAAAGCAGTAGAGGGGCTATTGGTGGGTGCAGCAATGCCGAACAGGGCCAGTGGCTTTGGCGGACTCAATGCTTCAATCAGCTGCCGGTATGACTCCTCATCGACGGGGGTTACTATGCTGGGATGTTTGCTATGCTCGTAGCTAATGCCCGTCATGCTGGAGATGGCGCGACTACTTCCGGAGCTAGAGATATAATCGGGCATGGGAACATCCTCGCAAGATGATCGTGCACCTCGATGTCGGATAACAGGGTCGGTGAAGGGATCTGGCATGCATTGGCCCTGCCACTGGGGTAGAGGCATCTGAATTGATCTTTGATAGTTTCGATATGCCCAGGAATTGCCTGAATGGCTGCTTACTTGGCTTCTGGGGGCCAACATCCGACCCTGAGCACCTTGCTTACTGGGAGAGTGGGCGTGTGAGTCTTCTGCTGTCAAATTAGCAGGATCGATGCCCGAGTTGTACTTGAAAAGTCGTGGCTCCCGTGTCCACATCGAAGGGTTCGGCCAGGCGATGTTTGAATGCTCCAGGACCTCTACACTCAACGGGTCAGTGTATCTATAAAAAATGATCTTCTAAATTAAGCACTTACGCAATGGAGCATGCTGGAAGGCAAATGCGACGATCTCCTTGACTCTCTCGAATGGTGGATAGCGGTGTGGGCGACAAAAGCCCTCAGCAATCACAACTCTAATCCTACCGTATAGCTCAGCTGCATCCCAATGTCTCTGCTCTAAAATTTCCTGGTGAAACGGAGGGAAACGGAGGCTATCCTGATTGCCAGTCTTATCGACGTCTAAAATCTTGCTGTTAGGTGATGTTTTGTGAACAAAGGTGGAATGCGCGAGGATTGGTGCAAAGCATACACGAACTTAGGTCTAAAGACGAGAAATTAAGGTCAGCTATAAATTCGGCAACAGAGGATCACTTCTTCTCACCAATAACATGAGGCCACCCTGATCTCTGATGGAAAACGCTACCCCTATGGCACACAACGGCTCAGTTCATAGCCTCCGGTTGGAGGCTCGGGCAAGCACCTACGAGACACACAGGCCATCAATAAAGACCCGCACCTCAAAAAGCACTGCATCATCTGGCTGCAAGAGGCTTTCCATCAACCGACTGGGTGTGGGCTTCTGCCAGCTGTGAACGGACACACGGAACGGGGTGTTGTGACGCAAACTTGGGACGAAAGTAGTGAGAACTGGCAACTGGCCCTCATTGCTCTGTGGCAGAGGACAAGTAGCCGGACTAACAAGACCGGGACTATGCAAGTAGGGTGAATCTGGTGTTTTCAATGGGAGGTTAGCAATAGACTAAGCCACGAATTTACTCCAATCTTCGACGACACTGACCCTTATCCTTGGTGACGAAACATTGGGTCTTGAACTCCTGAATGGGCACCTTGGACGATTCGGGGAAGAGAATCACGTCCCAGTCTTCGTACCGCATTCTGGCAGGCCCGAGGACTATTGTCTGCGAGTTAAAATGAGGAAAATGGAAGAAATTGAACCTCGATCAGGGACTAAGATACTAAGAGTAAAGAGAACTGAACCAATCCGAGTGGAAGGGAGGGGGTTCCTAAGAGAGAAGTAGGTATCTCCTCCACCACGACGAGGAGACAGATGATGGAGGCATCAGAGGGCGAGCAGACAAAGGAGAAGATGCACCGGGGTTCGCACCTGCCAGACTGGCCAGATGAGGGAGCACCTGCCTCATGAGGACATCCCGTTCGAGTTGAAAAGATTGCAGACAAACCCGGACTAGACGACCAGATTTGGGAGGGCAGGTACGAACCACAAGACAGACCGAAGAGTACTAAGACAATAATGAAAGGAAATATAGGTTTGGACAGTAATAATGCAGACCTGGCGACATGCGCCCAATTCAGATTGTTTAGACATCTATTATCGAGTCCCAGGTACACGAGGGAGGAGCAGATGCGAGCAAACATGCTCGAAACTGCTATGCTCGCAATCGCCGTGCATACACACAAAGGCAAAGTAGTCGGGGAAAGGAACACAGAGCTCATTGCAGAGCGAAGGGGGAATCATCCGTAAGAATAACGACTAAATGAACATGCCAGTATTGTAGCGGACGCTGGAAACAACACCACCCTCCTCGGTGACACAAGGAAAACAACCAGACTTACGAACGCCCCTCTCCCAAACCGTGATTTGTTGGTTCACAACAGGATGCCGCCATCAGTGCCCGAGGATAGGTAGAAACAGGAAAACCACCCACCACCCAGTAACTACAATTTAAACGAAGAGATAGACGCATTAGGAAGAGCCCCGTCCTGTCATAGAATCATCAACACCAGCCCCAAGTCCCACACACCCGGCAGGGGGATAGAGAAAAGTACACAACCCAAGCCGTCCAAAACATCCGCGGAACGCGCCAGACGCAAGACGGGGGAAGGACCCAGTAAAGGTCCACCGCATGGAAAGAGCGAGAGAAAGAACTGTGCTCCATAATAGACTGAATTGAGAGAAATAGAAGGCGAGGTGAAAACATGTTGTACAGGCCGCCCGGTCTAAGAAGCACGACGTAACATCCTCACAACGAAACAAGAATACGATTGGTTTGCTTCATGAAAAAGGACTTCAGCAGAGGAACTTTTCGCAGAAAGCCTGCCCAGGGAATAAAGGGGGGGGAACACCGCACGCGCATTCAACAATTCCGATTGTCGTCATACGCATAAGAACATAGACCTAGGGCCCGAAGACGTGAGGAGAATGTAAAAAGCGGGCATGGGATAAAGGGAAGAAACGGGGGAAACATATGAGAACTGGGGAGAGTGGCGAAGGAAAATTTGGGGGAGGTTTTAAAAGGGGGAATGGGAGAAAAGAAGAATAGTAAAACGTGAAGATAGATAACGATGAAAATCAGAGCTCAAATCTGGCTAACAATCGAAGCGCTCGCATATGAAGTACGTAGCACAGGAGAAAATGCCCATCCAGAGCTATAGAGGGTAACTTTCGCAGAGATCATGGCAGACTTATAACACAAAAGACCCATCGTGAAATGACAAAACTCCTGCTGGTTCTTTCAAACTAAAATGGAAAGCTCTTTTACTAAGTCTGGGCGTTAGTGATGCTCTGAACCCCACCAGCCTCGGAGGGAGAGTTCAAGGGGAACCGACCTTCATAGGCGCGAAGCCGCCGTATCCGTGAGCGGGGGGCATGCCCATGGAGGGGTACATGGGAGGCGGAGGGGGAGCAGGACGGTAGGGGCTGCCGGCAGGGCCAGAGTTGTTCTGAGAGCGACCCCAGCTCAGACGCACACGGGAGTTTCCAATGGGGTATCCCTGCATCTGGTTGATGGCCATCTCAGCAGCATGGCGCTGGACGAACTGGACGAAACCGCAGCCCTTTCCAGGGGGGATCTTGACGTAGGTGATTTCACCGAAGCCCTGGAAGAAGGAGCGGAGCTCATCCTCAGTGACGTAGCCAGACAGGCCACCAACGAAAACGGTGGTGTTGTTGGGGTCGGTGAACTGGTTCATGGGCTGGGGAGCACCGTAGAAGCCCATGGGGGGAGCGCCCATGGGAGGGTACATGCCCGCGGGGCCGGGCATGCCCATAGCACCGGCAGCACCAAGGCTGGGGCCCTTGTTCTTGGGAGTAGCAGTAGAGATGCGCATGGGACGGTTGCCACAGTAGACACCCTGCATCTCGCTCAGAGCACGCTGCTGGTCGTTCTCATCGGAGAAGCGGACGAAGCCGTAGCCACGAGACATGCCGCTGATGGGGTCGGTCATGATCTTGGCGGACTTGCAAGACGGGAAGCGGCTCTGGAAGAGAGAAACGAGGACGTACTCGTTGACCTCGGGGCCCAAGTCACCAACGAAGATCGAGTACTCAGGGCCACGGTCATCACGGCTATTTGACAAGTTAGCTTGTAACCTCAGGACATCTATGTGGCATCTTCTCCTTACCTGCGGTCGGCAAGACCACCACCGGTAGCCCAGTTGAGCTTGAACAGACGGTTGGTGTTGGGCATGGGGGTGCCGTTCAGGGACAGAGCCTTGGCGGCGGCGGCAGGGGACGCGAAGTCGACGAAGCAGTAACCGGCGTTGCTCCTACTACCAACATTAGGATCGCCTTCATATTGAAACCAGTGTGATTATGTACTCACCCAGAAAACTTGTCGCGGATCATCTTAACGTTGACCTGCTCACCCATCTGGAACCAGAGGTTGCGAACGAAGTTCTCATCGATCCAGGGCTCAAGCTCACCCATCCTAAACAGCAACAGTCAGAGACAGCACGGACAAGAGACACTGCATTGGGAAAGCTTACCAGAGGGTAGTCTTTCCCTCGTTGGCCTGCTGGGGAACAGGGGCAGCAGAGGGCTCCCCGGGAGCAGGACCCTGGAAGGGGGCGGTAGTAGGGTCAGCCTGGCCGGTCATGGCGGTGTCCGCAGTAGCAGGAGCGCCAGGAGCGGCAGCGGCGGCGTCAGCAGCAGGGTGCTGGTTTTGGAAAGAATCAAAGTTCTGGAAAGACATGTTTGACATAAAAATTCGACTTTCGTAAGAATAACTGCGAGATAGGTATCTAAAAGTCCAGCATGAATATTAGTAACACATTCAACGAGTGTAAAGAATTGAGTGCTGGCCAGTCGCAGTTGCGTGTACCTTAGTGCAGGTAAAAGAGCAGAAACCCAAGCAAACAAACTTTTCTATACCGAAATTGGCCCGTGCGAATGGGGTTTCGTAGGATTCGTCAAGGAAAGAACTGCGTGCGATCGTTCAGACTTGGGAAAGACTATTAGTACCAGAGAATTGGCTTCAGGAACGAGAGTCCTTGGGTAGCAACAAGAAAGAATTCAAAGTTGGCGAGGCAGAAAAGCACGAGTAAATCAGAAACAAAGGGAAAAAATGGGAAAGATGCCCGATCCACAAAATCGCGGTAGCTCAGATAGAAAGCATTGACGGAGCGGAAGATAGTTGAATAGAACGTGACGAATTCCCCAGGATGGCGGCCGGCAGAAAAATTGATTGAACGAGCGACTCGGTGAAAGTTGGGACAAGACGAAAAGTTGGGTTCAGCCTTGACGTGCAGGCCAGCTCCGTCAAATGCCAAGACTCAGGTTCCTCGGGTGGTTGCAATGAAATAGCCGGAAAGGTGCAAGATCCATGGAGTGAATCGAACAAAACCGGAAGAGGTGTGGTAGATCTGAGGTGAAAATGCGTGAATAGCCAGAAATAGGCGTTGTCACCATAGCATGACCGCGTTCGTCGAGGATACACCCAGAGAAGGCCACATCCGCTCCGGTTGCGACCGACCCGATCGATCCACCCCATCTTCAGCGGACCTGCACCACAAAAGCCATGCAACAGCCGAGACGTATTTCCAACCATTCAGAAAGCGAGGCGCAGAAAGGGCCATGGACGAGTTAATGGTTGAGCGACCGTCCGAAACTCATCGTGAAATAGATCAGGGCGAGATAATCGTAAGGCGCAAAATGGTCGCTGACAGACCGTGCCGGACGGAAGTGGAAAGTCATTTTCGACGGACGACCCGGATGCAGAGCAATCGGTGGACATGTTCACCCACAGCCGACTTGATTCAACCAATGTCGCCTCCAGCGAATCGGTAATTCCATGCTTCTGGATGCATGAGAAGCGATGATGGACCCGAGACAGTGGTAGTCGATTTTCCGTCGCAACCACACACAGCTAGGCACCGGAACAGGCAGGGAAGGGAAGAAAAGTGAAAAGAAACAGGAGAGAGAAAAATAACAAAAAAACGAAACATGGCATACGAGTCGATGCGAAACTCAAAATAATAAGAGAACAGTAACAACTTACCAGGTAATGAAAAGCGAAGCGTTGAGTTGCGTTGCTTTGGGGATGGCGCAAATAGCAAGGATGCGTGGAAGACTCGGGCGTCAGAGAAATCAGGAACTGTAGAGAACTCAAGATAACTCCGGCGAGGTGGAGAAAAAGATAATAAGAAATTCAAGAAAGAGAGGAAAAGGCACAAAGAAGAGTTACAGAAGAACTATCCGCAAACCAACTCCGTCTTTTCCGATAAGAACAAGGGAACGGTAGAAGGACTGAAGGAGGGAGAGATATTATGGGGGGAGGGGAGGGAAGAGAGAAAGAGAAGAGAGAAGGAAGAAGAGAGGAAGAGGCGAGGAGGGGTAGAAGAAAGATTATTCTTCAGGATGGAGGGGAGGGAAAGGGAAGGGAAGGGAAGGAAAACGAGGGAAAGAATGGCTACTACTACGTACTACTGCTAGGGCAGACCAGGGACGGGAGAAAGCAGAAAATCGTTTAGACGAACAAACCAAAACCCAATAAGAGTAATGAATAATCAAGCGCACAAGCACCCAAAGCTCGCAGGAGCCAAAGCAGGTCTTGGGTTTGGTTTACTGGGGCCTACTTTTCTTGCTGCTTCCAGCTACTGCTTGCTGCTGCTGCTGCTGCTGCTTAGTGCTGCTTCTGCTTGCTGCTTGGTGCTGCTACTACTGCTGCTGCTGCTAAACTACTACTGGGACTGTGAGGAGATGAGGGGCGGGCGCAGCAGCAAGAAGCGCTGCCAGCTGGGTGGGACGAAAGTTTGCCGACTCAGGAAAGGCTCTGACGGGGTTTTTCTTTTGGTTCGATTTTTCTTCCTTTTTTTTCATTTTTCCTTTTTCTTTTTTTCCTTTTTGGTATTTTATTTAATTCTTTTCTACTCAGGTGAATTTTTATTTTATTATTACTTTTAATTCCACTTTTGTTTCCCATCTGTTCCTTGACCACATTTTTCTTTACTTCCTTTTCCTTTCCTCTGAGTTAGTCGGTAACCTACCCTTAGTCAATTACTCTAGCCAGAAGCATAAAAAAAAAAAAAAAAAAAAAAAAAAGTGAATAAAAAAATAAAAAAGAAAATCAGAAAAATCGAGGACCGGGCCTTGTCGATCTGGATTTCATCCAGGTGGGAATCGTGTGGCCGTGGCGGGAAATAATGATGATACATACACAGATACATACATACATACATATACCCACACCCACACACACACACAGTTTGGAAAGTAAGTATCTATCTAGTATTGGTATTGTCTTGGTATCCAGCATTCAGGTTGGAATTGGATTGTTCTATCGGGTGTACGACCTTGCTGGATGTATGTTTTAGATCATGATCCAGATATCGACTGCAGAGTTCAACAACGAATATTGCTAGAGTCTTATCTTGACTCTTTGTTTCTTTGGAGATGATCTCACTCATACAGTAGTTTTCTCACAGCTATAGCCAATGTTTATCTATTCCCATTCCCATTGAATTATTCATGAAGCACCAAATGACTGCTGTATGTTGATGGATCTTGGTGGTAAATTAGCTACTTAAAAAGTACTTTTACCTATAAAAGGTACGTACCTTCACCACGGATACCTGCCTACCGTGCTTGCTGCGACAGACCCAATACAGAGAAGGTGTTAATCCCAGGGCCATGCAGTGGATACATCCACCGTCGACGGACCCAACCCAACCAAACTACCCTGCGACCAGATGACTGCTGCAGCCTGCGGGTTTGCAACCTGACATGGTCCTTATTTCCATCGCATGCAATAATTTTGTACTATCCTCTGGTAGTTGAACAACCCTAGGCAATAAAGTCTGCATTCTTTTCTTTTTATTTCCTTCCTTTGATTTCATTCTTTTCCCCTCTCCTTTACTATTCATTAGTTTTCACTCTTTCGTTTATCGCATGATATTGCTGGCGAATGGAAGATGCCGATAACTTAGAAATTAATGAAGCTTTTAAAGAACCGCCGGGCTTTTTGTAACGTACCCATGGCTTGGGGTTCTGTCTAAACCAAGTGTATACATACCACAACTTGATCTATCTGTCCATAATCTCGTTCCGATACGTCAACGAGAAACAAGAGATTTGATAACGATCTCTCAAGAATCATGTAGGGGAGGGCAGCATGTTGCTCATTATATCGACATTCTGAATGAAAAACACCACTCCCCGAGATCGAGGGAAATTGAAGGGTCTTTATCCGCAAGCACACCATCTTAAGGTAAGGGGACGGATCAAGTACACACAAAGTATGGAGTACAATAGTCCCCCCTTGAAAGGGTTGTTACATATACTTAGTAATGATGGTGGGAATACGTTAAGTAACTAACTAATCAATTGATACATAGCAACCAGGAAACAAAACTAACAAAGGGCGGGAAAAAGAGAGAAGAGGCAAAAAAAAGTAGACGAAGGATCATGATCGACGTGTACCTACCTTGAGGATTCATAAATATGGCCGAATCGCTGCACGAAATCTGCAAGGACCTGAGCGAATGCACATGCAGATAGAGAGAGACCAGAAAGGTCGTGAGGCCTTTTCCCTGCGTGGTGTCGCGTTGTGACTCGTCGGGTTCCATTCGCGTCCCATGGGCCCTTATCGTCATAGGTCCTGTCCCGTTCTCCGCCCTGACCCTGGTCGGGAGATGGGATGAGCCGAAACTCGACGGTCACTCGTTCGTTCATTCATTCATTCAATTCATAGATCAGTTGCCGTTTGCAGCCACTCTCAGCCCTTTTTTTCATTGTTCATTCACCTTTTTGGATCGACCATCATTTTTTGCCCTACTGTACAGTACAGTTGAGCTGGGCGGCTGAATGGCAAGTAGATAGATGTTAGCTGAACTTTATGGATGAATGGAGAGAGGCGGGAGGGAGGATGGGGGCGCTGAAAATGGCGGTCTTAATGGGATTACTTATTTTTTTTTTCTAACAAGGGGATTAAATTTGGCCCGAAGAAACTCTCAACCACAATCAAGAACCAACCAGACCGACGACCAGGAAAACTGGCAGCGCCTGGACTTTGTGGGAAAAGTTCAATGAAAGGAAAAATGGCCCCCACCCAATGCGCCCCAGACCCATGGATCGTGGAGCAAGCTAGCCTGCTACTTGTCTATGACGGAGGACTAATCGGGTACCCAGGAGACATTCGAGAAGCAAGAACGGTCCATGTGGAAAGTGGATGGTGCTATACTCTGAATAAGTTAAATCGTTGAATTTTTCTTTTCTTTTACTCACTAGCACATTTGGAGAATTAATTGATCAAATTGATGGGAGGTATATTACCCATTTAGACAAAGTACCATAGTAGTCTGTGGTCCACGTTAATAATAGATAGATGGTGGCCGACGGGGGGGAGAGATGGTCAAAGCGAGCAAGACTAAAAGAAAATAAACGGAAATGGATCAACTGATTGACTTTCAAACTAACTAAATACAATATGTAACTAAATAGATACTAGAGACAATTATGCTTGCTGCCAGATTGACTTCTAGTGAGAGAAAGCGAAAAGGCAATCAACAACATTTTCATTCCAATTGAGGTCATAGCCCAAGAAATTCCGCACACACACACAAGGTTTGTTGTGGGTGTGGATTTAGCTGCGATTATATAAAAAGAAAAATGAATGGGCCCAGCAGTAGTAAAAAAAAAAGGGCGACCATTCATTCCATGTGAGGGCGACTCCACTGGGGGCAGCTCGAACCATGGAAATGAGGCCCATGTGGTGCCCATTGGTCAGGATCCGGGCACCGGCGGCTCGTACGGTAAATTTGGGCCACCACAGCCTGTCATTGACATTACAAGTTTACAACCAGTACCGCCTGCGCCTAATCGGGCAAGTCAGATTGCGGGTTCTGGAATCCCACGAGTTGTTTTTTTTTTATTGTTAGGTGTTCTGAGACAGAATTCCTTCAGCCTCGTGAAGGGCGAAGGGGGCGCTGGCTGATTCATGGCTTTTCCCATCGTTCCAGATTTTTGCTAGTTTGTTTCAATTCACAATGGGACATGTGGTGGTATTATTCATGTCTACTCTGTATGATCTAAACTCTAGTGCTTGTCTGTATTGATTTAGTATTTACATTAGCACTTTACTTAGTATATGTTCTAATTCTCAGCTTTGCCTCGACGCGCACGCGACGCGACCGACCGACCGACTGACTGACTGCACTGCAGGATCCCGTGTGGTAATCAATAACTTTACCTACTTGGGTGTTGGGAAGAACCAGTCAACGCAACTTCAAGTGGCAAGAAATACGAGCATCATCAATTCCGGGAAAAGGAAGGTAATTAAAATTAATTAACTCCAATAAGTCTGGGGAACGATCATCATCATCATCATGATTATCCCATGGAAGAGGTCATTGGCATGAGCAAGGGAGCTGCTCTCTCTATCTATGGATTTTCATTCCCTTGATTCCATGTGTATCGTGAGCAATTTCCGAAAGATGGGGAAGGAAGGGAGGGAGGGACTGAGATAAAGAGATCGATCTACTATTGAAAAGGTCATAATAACTACGGATTATTCTACCAGGAATAAGGCTGCCTAGTGTTACCCTTTCCTAGCTTGGGCCACCCTTACTTCCAACTACACAAGAAGAAAAGTCGATGATGATTATATCAATACGTATACACACACACCAGAAGAACACTTTCATTATCAGTAACATATTTGCCCATGCAGGTATATCATTTTAAGATACCACATATGCACATACATGAGAAAGCAAGTAGGGTCGGGGGTTGGTTACACTATCATGCCGCTTGGCTTGTTAAGCAGCCCCGTCCGTCCCTTGCAGATTTCCGCCCTCCTTCTCTCCTTGCCTTTGCACCTGGCCGTTATCGATGCAAACATCCCACCCACCATCAACCTAACCTAACCTAACCTACCCTAACCATTTCTTTGCTTCTCGGCCGGAGAGACCCTCAACCAGGGATTTCTCCTATAAGTACCTTGGGCTGGAAATCTGATACAGGACAGGGCCTTTGTTGTATTCTTTTGTTGCTGAAATGGAGTGATCCATATATTGAACCATGGATGTCCCATATCCCAGATACCAGATAATAAGCATGTCCCAGAGAAGGAAAGTTTCTAGCTGGGTTTCATATAGGGTGAAACCGGGCTGAAGCTGAATGTCTCATAAGGTAACGAACAGTATATCTTTTTTTTTAACGCTCTACTAACTAGCTAGGAATCTCTTCTACTGTGTTGTGCAGTGCACAAGTACAAGTTCGTACGAACCATCCAACAATCACCTCTCAACGACCCACCCATTTCCACTCCTCCAGCTGAGGTAGGGTGGGTGATTGTCTGGATCTCTCTCACCTGTTCATCAAAGCAACATCCCCACTCACTCAACTCACATCGATCCGGTCCCTCCGAACAGCTACGCGGTCACAGCCTCTTTCTTGGTTCGTGTTAGCTTCGGTTGTTAGGGACGCGGATGCGGCACAATTTGCTCTGCTGGAGCAGGGCTTCTTATTATTATTAATATGGCCTTTTGTCGGGCCGGAAATCGGGACAAAGTCACTGAAGTCTAGACTGCTACTGTTGCCTCTGACATGGTGTAGTATATTGCGGTAGTTAGAGAGGAGTGTTTGAACCAGGTGATAGCGACTGTAGCAAATGATAGAACCAAACAAAGTATGACTCCAAGCACTTGTCATGCACCCTTAATATCAGATATAAGACCAACAACCCAAGTGTCCTCAATGTCCTCAACGCCATAGACACCTTGATAATTACTGCCCATAAACACCATCTCCACCCCATACACAAAACACCACATGCCCATCATAACCAACCAAAAGTACAGAATCTAGATATCAATCATTCTTCATCCTCCCTCCAACTCCACCACAAAATCCCCCGTA